AGCATCTTCGAACCCACTCAAGATACTCACATATCAAAACCAGGTGTTCCCCATAGTTCAGGCACTGAAGCGGTCAAGAAGGGACGGAGGAGAGGAGGGACGAGAGAGGAGGAATGGAAGATAGTACAAGAAACAAACACGCCATAAACATAAACTTTTGGTGCTGCGCGCGGACCTCTTGGATCTGCGCTGGAGCCCCCTCCCTGAGCGCGCCAGGGGCGGCGTCGGAGGCGCTGCCGGGGGGCCCAGGCGCGGATCCAAGAGATCCGCGCGGAGCGCTACAAGTTTATGTCTATACAGTCAAAAACCTAATAAGGACGCGCGGTAAGGACGCAAGACCCTTGGAAGCCGAAGTTGGGGTTTCTGTGGCGGCGGGCGACGAACACCTCAAGGACGCAAGAGCAAGGAAGAGCAAGGACGCAAGGATACCCTGAGCAACGTCGCGCGTCCTCAATAGGGTTTTTGACTGTAGGTCGGGCATGTCCCCCTACAGGCGGATTTGGAGCAACAAAATAAGAGTAGTCTGAACATGCACCAAAAGTGGTAAACGAATGCCAACAACAAATCGCCCCCCAACTTCTGTTTGACTATTGTTTGATACTCCCCCCTGTAGAGGGACAGGCCCGACTGAAGCAGCTCCCCAAGGCCCCCCCTGGCCCCTCTTGGAGCCCTTACAGGGTCTCCTGGGGCACTCCTGGGCCGTCTTGTGCCGTCATGGGGCCCTCTTGGGCCGTCTTGGGGCTCTCTTGGGGTACTTTTGGGCCGTCTTGGGATGATCTGGATGCCTTGTGGGGCCGTCTTGGGCTGTCGGAAACTAAAACACGTGAGAACGCAAAATCATTGGGAACCACGAGGGTGTCAATGAGTTGTGCCTCGTCAGGCTCCCTGGGGGGGGTCTCATGGGGCTCTCTTGGGCTCCTAGGTCCTAGGGGCCTCTTCGGCCGTCTTGGGGCAACTGAGGGCTGTGTTGGAGCGCTGCAGCGCCGTCTTGGGCAGGTCATGGCACTCTTTGGAGTCTCTCGGCGTAGTATTCAAGCCGTCTGCAATCATTTCCGCCGATCTCGAGGCTGAAATAGTCCCCCCCCGGGAAAAGAAGTGCGAGCCCTGGACTCAGGGGGGGAATTCTGTTACCGGGGAGAGAGAGAGAGGGAAGGGTGGACGGTCACGGTGACGGGGCCCGCAAGCGTGTCCACGCGGGGGGACTGAGCGGGGCGGGGCCAGAGCGCCTGAAAAGGCACGGAATCTGAAGCGGCTCGGCTGGCTTATGGGCGAGCAACGACATATGTACATGTACGCCCTCCGCGGTCTTGCCTGCACGAACGTCCGCGTTGACACGCACTCCAGGGGAAGCTAACCGCGTACGTGTAAATATGTTAATGGCCTAGGCATCGCGGCTGGCAGGCTCATTCATGATGCGCAAAACTATGCTCCAGCTCATTCCACTTTGCAGCTCTGGACCCTTGGCGGCGCGCGCAACGGGGTCGAGGGAGGGGGCTTCCTACAAGGAGACTGCTCCTTCGAAGGCGCCGGCCATACATCTATAGATAAGGGCCGCGCCTTCTACGAAGCAGGGGTGCTTCCAAGAAGCCCCCCCCCCTCCCACCCCCCCTCTGAGCGTGGCGGAACTTTGAAGCTGTGGCTTGGTTCCGGGGAAATGGGGCATTTGGAAATGGGGTCGTACATCGCAGCTGCAATAATTCGCTGCGTGGAACTATTGCGCGCAACGACTGCGCGCAACTATTGCGAATTATTGCGCCCGCAGGCTCAAGTATTGCGTCATTTTGCATGACCAGACGCAACTATTGCATCGTGCCAGGCCAACTATTGCAAATTATTGCTCGCAGACAACGAGAACACGAACTATTACATCGCAGAGATCATCTATTGACTTCACGAGAGCAAACTATTGCACCCCGACTACTGCACGAGGCACGGTACGATGTATCTGATCGTTTCCAACTACTGCATGAACTATTGCGCGCACGTTTCGCGGCCCCATTTCGAAAGACCCCATTAGCCCGATTCTGAGTGGCCACGTCGATCCGCGCAGCTGTTCTGTTCCGGTCACTGGGGAGGGGGGGGAGTTTCGGAAAAGTGTGGGGCCCTGGGACCTTAGTCCCTGAACGCCGCTGAACCTGTATAAGCTCCCGCCGCTTCGGTCTCAAGATTGCCCACGACCGCCAGAGAGAGCCCCAGCATCGCTCCGAAGGCGGCCTCCAGGGCACAGAAGAGGGACAGCAGAGGGTGCCGAGGCGGCCCACATGAGGGCACAGAAAAATCGTCATCGCCTGCCTCCAAGACGGCCGAGATCGCCAAACATAGCATCCAATACATATGAATGTGACTTCAAGGGGGCTAGGATGGCCCAGCACGGCGACCAAACTGGCCCCGTACTGCCCCAAGACATACCAAGGCGTTTGCTTGACTGCCCAAGAGGCTCCCAAAACGCCTCCAGATACCTCCAATAAGTTAAGACCCCCAGATGCCTTACGAGGCAAAC